TGTGCATGGAAGAATTATCAGGTTCATCATCTTCTGCGGATTATAATGCTCTTTATCCTTTTTATCTGCTTCCTGCAACCTCAGCACCAGAGTCTGAGCTTGGAAGGGAAGATCGAAAGCACAGATTGCTTTTAACACTGCAGAAAAAATGTCATGCTCTAGCAGGGTGTTGCAGGGTTCTGGTCCAGCCATGATGTCAGAAGCCTGCTGTGTTGCTGTACTGACCCTGATGTGAATCCCCTGAGGGTGAGCTGGGACCAGATCTTAATTCCCAAGAGGTCCCTGCAACAACAAGCGTATAAGTAGCTGACATAGATATGAACCCCACTTCCCCAAAAGGTTGACTCCTGCCCCTCCTTCCTCAGCAGAAACTTCTCCCTGGAATTTTTAGAATTTTCTTTCATGTCATCAGCTTTAAATTGCTGCTCAGTTATTTTGGAGAAACTGGTATCAGTGAGAACTGCAAAGAAGACCTCAGAAGAAGTGCTGGCAAATGTCACTGTCCCAGATAATGAATCATACATCAGTCTTCAAGTGTGGAAATATTCCCCATGAACACAGTGCTGACACAGAGCTGGGATGCGTGCATGTGACTCTGAGTCCTTTTGTTCAATGTGAGGACCTCTTGCCTTTCTCTTTGCTTTTCCACATCAGTGATCAGTCAACAACAGAAGGAAATATTAATTAGAAACTTCTGTAATGCCTTCTTTAGCTTTCATCCTCTCGATTTCTGCCCCTGAATCTTTTCTGCAGTCCCCACGCCCCAGGCTTTGAGCACGATCTGATGGCTCCATGGAGCTCTTCTGAGCGGAGTTCATTTCGGCTGAAACAGGATACACGGAGGAAGGAAGGCAGAGCAGCGGAGAGCAGCGCTGAAGGAGAATTGGTTGACAAGGAGAAGTATGTGGAAGCAGATGAGGAGCACTTGGGACTTTGGATGAAAAGTAGTTCATCCCTTCTCAGCCCATTAATAAGTTAATAACTTATCAGAGATTAACTTAACACCTTGAGGCACAGAAGACATTGCCTTGTTCTCACATTAGCTTGGCTCTATTGTAATTCCTTTATCTTACCTTTTTTTCCCCCCTCAGCTATTGCATACTCACCTGGGGCCACACTAATATAACAGCATAAGATTCAATTACAAAAGACTACAATAAGAGTGCAAAATTCTCTTCCTGACATGCTGAATCAGTGCTCAGAAGCATTAATTATTGAGTGGCTAGCAGATTTTTTATTTTTTTTTTTAAGTTACAGTGGAAAAAAAGGAAGAACCCTATGGCACCTCCTGTGCACTCAGCATCTGTGCTCCTGCGTAGGAAGTCACTGGCTTTGTTGACTCTTGAGGCAAAGCACAGGCAGGAGAACAGGGACAGGAGAGGAGGAGCCAGGAGAAGATGGGGTGTTAAGAAGGAAAGGGGGGGGGATATGGGGAAAGAGCGCAGAGCTGGCATGACCCCTCCTGAGGAAGCAGCATCCTGGGTATGTTTGGCTCCTTTTATTTTCCTTAGTCTAAGCACAAGGTTGTTTTTTTTTTTTTTTTTTTTTTTTTTCTCACAAAGGAGAGTGAGGAGCCCATCTGGGGGAAAGATAAAAGCCTGGCCACTGGGTCTCAGCTCCGCATGGATGGGGAATATCCTTATCAGCCCATTTGATGTCTTCCTGAGAGCCTCAGTATTGTGTCCAGCACTCAAACATCCCCATCCCTATCACCAGAGCTGCCAGTACCTCGAGCTTATCTCCTTGTTACAGGAGCCTCCATCTCTAGAGCACCTAAGCACATTTTACATGGTATCAACAGAGAGAACAAAGTGGCCCATCCTTTCACTGGCAGCTTCAGAGAAGCTGGGGCTTTGAGGGGACCATGGAAATTCATCTGCTCTTTCTTATCTGGCAAGGTGCTTGCAGATCGTGGCTTTGAGGCAGAGTAATGGGAGATGCTTATGCTCCTACTCTTTATTTTGTGTACCAAAAAATGTGTCAGGATCCAGATGGGTTAACACGCCTTCTTTTATCCACACTAAGTCATGGAGTTTAACCTCTCCCAGTGCCTCCTCATTCTCAGCTACAGATGGATTAGGTACACTAGAGCTAAAGAAATATTTTTGCTGCACAGATCCAAGTTTAGCTCCCAGCTTCCTTGGAGCAAATCTAAAGAAACAGCACAGCTCGGGGCATGGGTTTGCCCAGGATATCCCAGCAGACAGGAAGGGTTGGCCAGTTATTTCAGCTGGAGCTGCTCTCAACTCACAGATGCCACTGCAGAGTTACATGAAGATGACAAAGACCAGATGCAATTCCCTCATCTTTCTGTCATGCCTCCCAATTTCTATATTTAAACACGTGTATTCTGTGGGGATGAAGATTTGGCTTCGGGACACATGCACAGCACTGCTGCCCCGCATGGTTTTAGTCTTGTGCTGAGATGCACAGTGACAAAATAAACACCGTGTGAGTGAAGAGGATGACATCAGGATTACAAGCAGTGTTAAGGGAGACAGAGCCGCCTTTCACAGATGATATTTGCATGTGTAACACAGGCTCCAAAGACTCCTATCGCCTTCCTCCACTGACAGCATCGTGTGTTAAGCATTAAACATATGGCTCTACTTAAAGCAGGGGCCAGGCTCCCCGGGCAGGGTGAGGATTTCCTGCGGTTGCCCCTCGTCCTTTGTGGATGAGAGAATTTGGCAGAGGCTGCAAGTATGAGCTGGGAATGGGATCCGATGGCGGTGCACAGCCCAAGCCTGCCCACAAGTGTCACACCTCGCTGTTCACTGGAGACAGCACGTGTGGCAGGGCGAGCAGCCACGGACCTGGCCTCAGAGGAGCACAAGCCGAGCAGAAACCCACCCTGGGGTTTAAACAGAGGGGATGAAACAGGCGTGTTTGGTTGGGTGGCGGCACTCTTAGAGGCTAAAGATCAGGCCAAGGCTGCTTTTTTGCAGGCAGAATAAATGGCACTCCATAACGATCTTAATTGGGCTAAAACACGAAATTTCATGGTATATGCTTTTCTGCAGATCTGGATGGATTTGAGCTGAAAATCATATAATCAAATGAACTGTGTGCTGGTGAAAGATGGCATGGCATGCCCGCTCTCCTTTCACACAGCAGCAGAGGCAGTGCAAAGACAGCTTCACCCCCACCCAGGTATATATCAACCCGAAATGATGAGGTTAGTAAAAATTTGTGACCTCATCTTTCCTGCAGTATCTCTGCTGGGACACACATAGTGTGTTATCCTTTATTTTATTTTATTTTATTTTATTTTATTTTATTTTATTTTATTTTATTTTACTTTATTTTATTTTATTTTATTTTACTTACTTATGTGCTGTCTGCAAGCTTATGTTACACAGGACCTAGCAGGCATCTGATGATGGTTATTTCCCTTTGCACCTTGGGAGATGGACTGGATTTTGTCTGGTGACTAAAAATGAAAGGCTCTGCATCTCATTTCTTATTCCCTGAGGCATCGATTTTGGTATTCTATAGAGTTGTGGATCTGAATGGAGATTGCTCCGTTGTCCTTATCCATTCCCCCAGAATCAGACAGAGAAAACTACAAGGTGTGACCATCACTGCAACAAATCAAATATGCCTCCTCAGGGAAGTCACCAAAAGTACAAAATCCCCTCACCTCTCCCTTTCTCCTCCTTTTCTTCCTCTCTTTGCAATCTTGGTCTCTCTCCCCTGAATGATGTTGCAAGGCTTTGTGTTTAATTAAGACACATTGTCCAACCAATTGGGAAGCAGGAAATAGCAGGAGATGTTTTACAAATAGGAACAATTCTTGTTCATTATCCCCTAATTGAGGCAACAAAAAGGTGCTGGAAAACATCCATCAGATGCACATTCATGTACATCATCAGAGAGGATTGGATTTAGGAACTCACAAAAGCAACATCGAATGTTCCAATCAAGAGTTATACAGACAACAGGGAAACAAAGAATCGGAGACACAAATACATCAGAATTAGCCCAATTACAGATTATATATTTCTGGAAAACACACTCCCTGGCTCTCCTCCAGGATTTTCTTATTTCATACTCTTTTTTTTTTTTTTTTTTTTTTTTTTGTCATTCCTGTCTGTGTTACAAAAGCCAATGTTGCTTGTCTCTCCTTTACTGGCTCTCAAAGCTTCTTGTGAGGAGGAGGGTATTGTTCTGGAGAGTATTACAGAGGTGTGTAGGGAACATGCAAGCACAAGTCTGGAAACTTTCACCCCAGTTTTATCTCCGGGGGCTCTGGAGCTGACACATCGTTCAACTTTTTCACCCTTGTTCTTTCACATTCTGAAGTTCAGCTGCTCTTCTAAGCCACTGTTCTTGTGCAGAAGAGATAAATAACATAAGAGAACCTGCTGAGGGAAAGATTTTGAGCCTGGAAGGCCAGGAAATCTCGTTACCCACTTAAGTATGCATTTTAAAGCTTGCTTGGCCTGTTTCTGAGCTCATTTACACTCTAACACTGTGGCACCCGCAGAGTCAGTCTTTATTCCCACCGGTCTGTTAGGCTCAAGTTCTTTGGCTTGTCATTTTTTAAAAGGTGCCTTGAGTTTTAAATGAGGGACAGAATGTGCCATGGGCCCTCAAGATACCTACTGAAAGGTATGTGCACATTGATGCTTCCTGGAAGGGAAGCCATCAGCAGGAAAAATGGCATCATACCTCATTGGACTGTAGTAATAGACCAAAACATGACAGGATACTGTTAAAAAATGCTTGTGATCGGTACCCACAGCTGTCGAGCTAATTATTCTTTCTGTCTTGTCATAGATACTTATATGGTCCCTAGGGTACCTCAGCGTTTCACAATCGCTAATATAGTTCTCTTCACACACTCCTGAGAGACACCTATCTGCCGCTGCCTCCTCCTCTCCTTCATCCCACCGGGATGGCCGAGGGAGGTGGAGGCTCAGCAGACTATTCCAGCGCTGTGCACAGCGATGTTTTCCCTCGAGTAGCACACATTTCACCAGCTTTATGTATTTCAGCATCCAATGTGGAATTGAAGCTCTCACCATCTATGGAAGGAGACAGGAAACACCAGAGATGAAATCTGAAAGGTAGGGAGAGTTGTTCCCTGGAAGGGAGCCTCATGTGGGCCAAATCCCCTGATTCCTAGGGATGATGAGCCCCAGCAGAAACATCCCAAACTGGGCCATGCTATAGGATCACAGTGATGCAGTGGGTGCATGTCCCTACGATTTGTGAAACCATGCACAGTGGCCGAGCATCTCCCCAGCAGCCTGGGGGTGACTTTGGAGAACCTGAATCCCAACCTGAAGATGTCCTTGGCAGGACATTGCTCAGTTCCCAAGGAGACTGTACAATACCCAGGTGAGGTTTTCCTGGGGCTGCCCTGGGGAGGATGAGGCTGCAGTCTGGCTCTGTGCCCTGTTTTGTCTGTGAGCTCCCCAGAGCGGCTGTGTCTTTGCCTTTAGTGAAAATTTCCCTCATGATTTTCCCCTGTGCTTCCTCCAGCAGCTGCTGTCGTTTCCCTCTGTTGTCCCCACAAGCCCTCCCCTGCCTTGTTTTGAAATCCCCACTGCCTACCGTGGAAAGTGTTTGCATTGTAGCTGGCATTTGTTGATTTTCTTTAGGTGGCTCAGGGCTGCAGGCATTCCTCATTACTTTTTTATTAGCCAATTTGAATACTCATTTAGCCTCACTAAGCGTGTGATGGTTTTTAATTCTTCCTTCAGAGGCATCTGCGCAGAGCCTGTCCTTGGTCCTCAGCAATAACACAGGATCCCACACAGTGAAGCTGAGTCGAGAGATGATAGCTCACTACACAAGACCAATCCGTCTGGGCTTGCTTCACATGGATGACAAGGCAAAGGCCTTTCTTTGTTTGTCCCTTGCCTTCCTGTACAACAAGACTGCCAGAAATCACAGCAGAGAAATACATTGCAGGATAACAAGGTACATCGCGCAGGACAAACATCTTTCCAAAATCCTGTATAAAATTAAATAACTCAAAGTGGCAAGACCATAGATTATATAAATTACTGAAATGGTAGAGTGGAGACGGTTGATGAAGATTAAATTGTCATTCAACTATAAGGCTAATAAGAGCTAGGGAAAAAAAAAAAAAAAAAAAAAAAAGATTATAACCACAATGCATAAAAAACAAGCAATCAGCAGAGAAATGTTGCATTTTGACATCCAGTTTCCATGCACTGTCTTGGACCTGCTTTTCAGATCTGCTGAGTACCAAGAACTGACAAAACAGACAGTAAGTTTTTTCTGTTCAGAAGCCAAGCTGAAGGAGGGAGGTAGGAAGGGGACACAGGATGGACCTGGTCCTGCCATTCCTCAGGTTGCAAGGCCCAGTGAAGAATTGTGTCCCAGGGATGGACATAGTCACGTTGCAATATAACCAGCTTCTGAGTGGAGAGGGCTGCCCACGTCCCTCCACCCCCCTGAGAGGCTCTGGAGGCATTGTTGGGATGGGAAAGGAGGGAGCATGAGCACCACGGCTGCCTGAGCCGTGTCGCCGTGGATAAATATGAACCCTCGGTCTCCTCGCCTATTAGTCTGGCAGTTTGCTCAAGCACTAAATCCACTTGCACACAAAAAAGGTACATTCTGCTGCTTTTTCAAGTGTCTTGGATTCCATTGTGTACAAATTTACAAATGAACTGCTTGAGTGTTGACTAACGCTGCAGCCTGCAGTCAAGGTAAGAGCCTATTTATTTATATGCTCTTCAAGGACATGAAGACGCTGTATTTGTACAATCTTCCAGTAGGTGCACAGCACACAGCCTAACAAACAGTTACCTGCCGCGGCCATGTTTCGGAAGAGGACGATATATGAGACCCTCAAGGAAAACACACTGCTTAGCCAGCGTCTGCTGGCAGGAAGGTCATGCTACGCCTTTTGATGATGGCAGAACTGCAAATGTAGAAAGAAGGATTTTTTCCCACACTGTCACTTTGATTGGACGTGTGTCCAGGAGGTTGCTCAGGACATACAGCTGAGCTGTGCTGGGAGCAGAACATCCCAGCTGCTGTGTGTGCACAGCACCCACTCATTTAAATGAGGCTGTGTGTTTGCAATCGATGGGACTGTCTGATCCCTGGATGGTAGGGAGCTCTCTTTTTCTATTTCCTGCTGATATTTACTTCAAAGGTGCATGACCACACGGATGGCCCTAATAACAAGAGCCACAAAGAAAAATTAATAAAACTCTGAGTGTGTTTTACCCTGAGATCTCATGGTGCTTGACAAAGGAAAGGCATCATCAGTTCTTTTTATATGGGGGCAGAAAGAGGTGAAATGATTTATTTATCCATGCTCCTGCAGTGAATCAGTAGTAAAGCAGGGAGCTGGACCTTTCCAGCTGTGCTTTGAGCCTTCCTAAAATGCCCATTGGAACAGTCCTAAAACACTTACCCTTTGAGAGTGCATCCTGCCCCCGCTGCTTTGTGTAGAAATTAGCCCTGTGAAGAACAGCTCACCTTTGCATTGGCCAGGGCTAGAGCAGACAAAGAGAAGAGATTTGGTATTTTAGAGCACATCGGTTTAAGTTTGTGACCAAAGAAGTAGAAGAGCACACAGAAAGGGCACACACAAGATGGGAAGTGGAGACTGCAAGGTTGGTGGGTCTTGGCTTGAAAGCCAATTGTTTAAACTTACTCCCCTGCATGTAGAGAAGCACCAAGGGCTGTGGCTCATGGCCAAACACAGCAGTTCTTGGGGAAATGCTGGGTGCTGCAGAGGCAGGGATGATGGCATGAAGGGAGGCAGGATTGCCTGCTCTCTGGTGTCTCACTGGAGCTGATCAGGGATGCCTGGCCTCGTGCGGGGCAAGCTGCGGTGTAACATGTTGTGTGTGTGTGCTGCAAGGGATCGAGGAGCAGGGAAGGACATGCCTTTGGTGAGAGTTGGTGGCAAGGGCTTCTGCTCAGCTTAAGAGATATCTGGGTGCTCCCTCAGCCCCAAAGCCTTTGGAGGCTTCAGGTGGATCTGAAAGTCCTTCTGCCTGGCCTGCGGGTTTGTCTGCATTCACAGCACAAGGCCTCGCTGTCATTAAGGCCACAGCCATCCTCAGCCTCTTGGTCTTTTCATCACAGCCATGCTCTTCAGGGCAGTGTTGAAGGCTGGGCTGGGGTTTGCTGGGGTGTGAGGGATCCTGCTGGGGAGAGGAGCCAGGAGAAGAAAGGCCAGAAGGGCTGGTGGGGATGTACCCACTTGGGGACAGCAGCATTGCAGTGCCTCCTATCACTGTACCCCAGGTGCTGCAGGCGCTGTGTACCTGGGGTACTTACCCCAGATAGTTAGCCACTGCCAAATACTTAATTACACAGGGAAAGATATCACTTAGGCTGAGATGTCTTGGCTTCATTAAGGAAGCTGCAGAAATCATTGCCCTCTACCCCCAGGCTCTGTGAAGGAAAATCCTGCTGATTGAGGCAATCAAGTCTGGAGGGGCCAGGAAGCTGCCGAGCCCCTGGTTAGCAGAGGATTTTGAGGCAGGCACGCCTGCGTCTGGGCATTAGAGCATCAGCGTAACCGAGCTTCCAGGCAGTTTAAATAGGTGCCGTGAGCTGATTGCAAAATGTCCTCTGTGCAGCCCGGAGCCCTCTCTCTGCATCCCCACATATTTCATTCATGGGGATGAGACAGCAATGAATTTGCCATTCATTAACAACAAATAATATCTCTCTATCTATCTTGGGTAAGGGTGGTTGCGGAATTGCTCTTTCACTTTCATTTTATAGGGTTCCCTGTGATAAATTTAGCTTGTAAAGGGTGATTAAGACACTTCATTATGTTTTAATGTGTCTGTAGGTCTATGTCTAATAGTAACACTCACTCTGGAGCTCTCTGGAAACGGTTAGCTGCTGCAGCCCAGAGAAGCCTGTGTTGTGGGATGGGACGTGACTCTGGCTGGGTGCCTTGCAGACCTGAGCCCCTGCCTCATAGGGGGACATGTGGAAAGGTCCAAAATAGCATCTCCACTGAGGGACACAGCCAGGTAGGCACCTTGACCAGGTACAGTTATCACAGTTGTAAATCAGGTTGGTCGTTTCTTCCCCTCATCTCCCAGTTTGTCACTCTCAGAGCAGGGGGATGCAGGTAACAGTGAGGTCCCAAGCAATTCTGGCCCCAAGACCTTGAATTCACTACCTGATTTGGGTTTTCTCACTAACAAACTGTTGCAGAGCCAGCTATGGGTGAGGTTGGCCAGCAAAGTGTGAGGGGTGTTTGCACCCTAGGGAGCAATCCAGAAAACCTCCATCCTTGTGCTGACAAACCTTGGAGATGTTTAATTCCTATTTTCTGCTTCGCTTAGCCCAGAACTTCTCTATCCACTGACACATAGGCACAGAAGTGCCCTGGTTTGGGAAGGCAGGCAATTATTTCCTGCCTGAAGGGAAAAAGTTCATGCTATGCTGTGCTTTGTGTTTTCTACAGAGCAGCTCTGATAGCTCCCAGGCTTTCTCAGCTGTTTGTCAGTCACCAGCTCTCTTCATGGGCTATATAAGGAGCCCAAGTACCTCATTAAGATGGTTTCAATTGCTCTCTGCAGCCATGTACATAGCAATACATAGTGTAAAACCTAAATTAGGGGTTGTTAAAGACTCACAGGAAGATGTCCACTGTTTAAGCATTCTGTCTACATGTGAGGGAATGTCTGATCCCAGAAAAGACCTCTGCCCCACCAGCTCCTCTGCCTTTCTCTTCACTTTTAGCCACCATCCAGAACCTGTTTTATTTGTTTATTTTTGTGACTGGACATTGGGGCATCACAAGGTAATGCAAAATAGTATTTTCTTCCTCCATGCTCTCTCACCTAACATTTCTATAACTTACTTTAATTTTTGCAGATTCAGCCTCCTTTCACCTATTTTAATCTTCTGAAGACCCATTGATAAAACCTTTTGCATAATATTATGAGACATTGTATATGTACCATCCTCTACCCATTTCTTTTACTCTTTGTGAGCACCATATGGAGACTGAACATGGTACTATAGATAACAACTTTGGGATTGGAGTGCTCAGCAGGGAAACCTCTCCAACACCTTCACATACAGATTTGGTTTAAGGGAGCAATCCTTAACACAGGCAGACAAGATCTTGCCTAATGTTTTTTGGGTGAGATTTAAAGCCTGAGGTCCCGGTCAGACTGGCAAGGGCTGGGGGGCTGTGTCCTGCAGAAAGACAAGCATTGGACTAACTTCTTTCAGTGGCTTCAGACAGGCAAGTAGCCTTCCTCAGTCCCCACACTGCTGTGTGGTGTTGCCACACTGTTAAATGGGGACATCCTGGAAGTGCAGCAACGGGTGCATTTCAGAGATGGGCTCTGTGATGTGATATGGAGAGCTCGCTGGCTTCCTGCATGATGATGAGCAGCTCACTGGCCCGTGTGTCAGACTCTGGGACATGTACTTTTCTGCTCTCTGGGAAGAGCAGGGCAGTTGGCAGCAGTCCCAGAGAGTGACCTTCTGGGCTGGTTAGAGCCTGTAAGCATCAAATGCTCTCATTCATTTATTGGAGGGTGATAAACAGCCTGGGAAATGCCTGCTTCAGTCAGGTCACATACTTGCTCTTTTATGCATGTGACATCTTTAAAAGCGTATCTGGTAATGTCACAAGAGAGCCTGAAGGAAATCCCAGCTTGGCTAGCTTGGTGTAGGTTTCCTGAAAGGCATCTGGGTGCAGAAGATGCTCAGGTTGTTTTTTACAGGGCTATTTCTACAGAAAAATTGTGATTTAAACACTATCCCTCCTTAAGAAAAAAAAATCTACCTAATCTGGAATGAATCTCTGCTCTTTAGATATGGGTGTAATGCATTTGTGATTGCAGTAATGGGATTTTTTACCTTGTGTTCGTGGATGACACAGCTAAGACTATCAATCAGACGAGGGGCCACAGTGGTGGTCATGTTTTCACATATCTTTGGGATGGAAAGGGGAGGGTCACTGCAGAAACAGAATGGGCAGAAAGTGCCCTGATTCGGGACAGCAAGATGTTTGCTGCTGTGAGAGCCCCTACCTCACGTGGCTCTCCATGAGTGGTACCCAGACAAAATCCCTCTAGATGACCCCCCAGTGAAAGGGAAATCTTCATCCCAGTGCTGACCTAGAGCTTGCATTTAAGGCACTGTAAGCTTCTGGGTGACTTTGGCTCATCTCCCTCCTTGTTTTCAGGAACTTGCAGCTGGTCTCTGGAAGGAGGCAGAAGCCGCTGACGTTCCCATGTCCCTGATGCTCTGCGAAGTGGATGTTTTTGCGACACGATTGGTGCTTTGCAGCTGCTCTGGCATTAGTTTGCATCAGAGGTGCTCGATCAGTACGTGTGCGGTCATAGATCAAGTGGTGGCAGGCTCCTGTGTCCCACCTGGGTGGGCACGCGCTCCCTTGTGCGCCGTGACCTTGGGGAGGGCTCCTCTCGAGATTCCCATGCAGCTGCTGTTTTGCATCGCGAGCCATATGGCCAGCACCATAAACACTGGCTCTAATTGTAGCTCTCAACCTGCCAAAGTCCAAAACAGGGAGAATGGAGGGAACAGAGGCTGGGGGTGGAGGGGGGGAAAATAAATCAAACATTTGCCTGAAAAAGAACCAGGAACAAGGAAAAAGCAAGAAAGGGAACTCTGGGAGGCAGTAGGATTCATTACTCCAGTGCAAATCACCTTCTCTGACCTCAGGTTCCTGATTCAGCTTTTTCCATGTCAATATTTTACAATAGTAAAAGCAAGAGAGCACCAGGTGTGTGGAAAATGAGGGCAAATTTGAGTCTAAAAAGGCAGGGACATTCCTGCTAATGAAGGACTGTAGAGAATATGTTGCTAATCATACTGCTAATAGTAACCTTGTCTCTGTAATCTACTTTTTTTCAGTAAAGTGAGGTTATGTGTTACAGAGATTCAAGGGGTCCACGGAGGGACTGGGCAGGAGTTTCAAACAGGTCGCTCAGTTCTCTTAGCAGAGCATGAGGAAAACACTGGTCTTGTTGCTCCCTGCCTGGGTCTTGTGTCCATCTATCCCCAGGCAGAGCTGATGGAAAATAACTACCAGGACAAAATGGAGATGCTGTTCACCTATTCTGTATAGATTTAAATGGGCAAGATTCGAGGCAAAGCATTGCTATGCAGAGGTTATTTAGTCTGTCTTTCCCAAGGGGGAAAGGCATGTGAGCAGCCTCTCTAATCAAATGAAGGCATAAGGACGTCTCTCCTCCCTGTGATGGATTCAGTGCTGCATCCAGAGCTGTCTCTTTCGATGCACCAGGTAGCCCTGAGTGGGTGGTGGTGTCTGTCTGCCTCTTCCCACAGGACCCTGACCAGGAAATCTGTGCACACAGGAGGGGCTGGGACCCAGTGTAAACATCAGAGCTCCTCTGGACATGAAATCACCTTCCCAAGGTGGGGACAAGAGGCATTCCCCCTCTGCTCAGCAAATAGAAATGCTCACCTCTCTTCTTCCCTCTCTCCTTGGCCCTGCAAGGTTGGGGTTTGCCCCACTGGGTGTAGGAGGGGCATCATTTTATTCAGGGAGCAGCCAGTGGAGGCAATCAGTGGGGCTCTCCTGGATTCAGGCTGCACCTTCCTCTAAGTGGGGGCAGCTGTGACATGCCCAGGAGCTAGCAGAGCCTGGACATTAAGTGCAAGGTTCAGCAAGGTCAGAAGAGACGTCCACAAGTCACTGCTTAGCTGCCTGCTTTCTCTGGATATGAGGGCAACGTCTCCTTCCACAGTTCCAAAAAGAAAGCTCAGAATAAAGTCAGGGTAACCCAAAAGGTGGTGGACAAGAGAGAGAAACTGCCCTGGGAGCCTCGTTTAGCAAGGCCAGCCGCTCACCCCTCCCTGATACACCCAAAGACAGGGACTGTCCTGGCTATCTACTTTGCCCCCAGAACTTCTTAGCACAAAGAAAATCACATTTCAGTTCTTTCACAGAGAACTTTAATTAAAAATCAAGGAGAAAAACCTCCATCGGGAAACAGAGAAGCAACAAAATAGGTAGATACCTCTGCCTCTAATTTATGTGAGTTTAAAACTGGTACCAAGATTGGCTTAATTACCTGGGAACAATGTATTTCTCCTGGATTGCAGATCAGCTCGTTAGCGATACACTTTTTTACTTCCAGTTGAAATTGATAATACATCCCTCACTCAAAACATTGTCTCCCAATCACCATGGTTACTGCCAGGTTTTCCACAAGGACCCAGCATATTCATCTGTCAAGTATGCTAATGGGGAACGGACCCTGTCACACAAAGGAGCAGGCTATTCAAACATACACTTGGCAAATAATTGTACATGTCAAAAGAATGATGCTTGTTATTTGCCTAATATTATCCCCCAGAAGTGGGAAATAGTTCAGCTCTCAATGCAAAATGGCTTGCCCTTATCAAATAGGCAATTTGCTGATAATTTAGACTATTAGAGATCTTGGGGTGGGGAGACAAAGAAGGGGGGTGGCAAATGTAAGTGGCCTTTTATAATTGCACTGAAAGCAAAATGGGGCATTAAGTGCCCCGGAGGTGCAGTAACGAGGAGCATCACGGGAAGCGCTGCCGGCCGAGCCGAGGGGCTGCTCGCAGCCTCCCCTCTCACCTCTGCCAGGTAGCTGCCGGTGGGTGGTTAATTATAATTTAGAAGGAACAGTTTTCTCAACTGCATTTTTTTTTATTGCTATTTATCTTCATGATGGGCCAATTTCCAATTTGTCTATTTCGGTAATTAAGCCAAAGAAAAATGTTACTGTAGGATTCCTCCAAGTTTCTGAGCTTCTGATGTTAGCAGCTGGATTCCCTGAGCTTGTGCAGAAATATCAGTGGCTGAGGCAATGGAGTGGCCCTGTCTCTCACTTTGGGGCACTTAAATGCTTTTCCCTCCCACTCTTTTCTACCTCTTGCCATGCCCAGATCTGCCCACATCCCATCTTCCTGCCCTCTGCCTGTCCCCAAACCAGTTCAACCCAAATCCCATGTAAACTCAGCATGTTTTCATTTAGATTTGGGCTACGCATGCATGAGACTTTTATCTGCCATATCCCAGCTCTCCTCAGCCAATCTTCCCCTCCTTGGCTGTGCCCAAGCCCTCGAGGTGAGCACCCTGCTGCTCTAACCCCAGGTGCTCCTGCATGGGTGGGACCACAAATCTCATCTCGCCCATGCTATGCAAGCGGAGGAGGAAAACCTTAGAACCCTGTTCTTTCAATATAAAGAACTAATTAATGTCTCCAGACTGCCTGAGACTTTCAGTCCAAGGTGTAAAAGTGGCAAATACCCAGCCATCTCTGTTTCTTGGGATGGGATGGGCAACGCCTCTCTTGGTATCATCTCAGGGCAGCTGGTCTTTAAACATTGTTGACTTTCAGCCAGGTTAGATACCTTACCCTGGAAGCAGAAGACACATGAGTGCCTTCCCTTAACTGCATGGTTCTCCCCAACCTGTCCGGTTCCCCAAAAGCAGCACTGCTTGCAGCAGGCTGGGATGGTGCAGCGCAGCCATGCCCTCTGTATGTGACATTATTTGCAGGATGTGGCCAAGTCACAATTTTCTTAGATCCTAAATTCTGATTGCTGAGCTTCCTCGCGCTTTCAGTAATATAGTTTATTTGTCTTGGGGAGGATGGAGAGATTTCCCTCTGGACTGTGAAATCCTTTTCTGTTTGCCCTAGAGAGTCCAGCCCTTCCAATGTACATGGGGGAGGTAAGGAAATGTCAGTATGGAAGTTGAGTTTGGAGGGTTACTAGTAAATTTTGTGTAGGATGGGGACCAAGAGGGGTTATGCTTTGCTACCCCATGGTGCTTGTTGTACATAACACTAATTTCATAATGAGCAGAAAAAGAAGAAAGAAAGAAAGAAGGGTAAAAAAAAACCACACAACTAACAAGCGACCTAATCGGCTATTAAAATATTTCCAAGCACTGAAATTAATACAATTCCCAACTCATAACTTATTTGCCTCTGTACAAAATTAACATAGATAAATAAATTAAAAAAAAATAACCTCACCCAAACTGCTTCATAATAAAATGTGATCATAGCAATAATAAGATGCTTCAGTGCATGAATTTGGTTGTATTAATTCACCCCTGGTGTAATTGACAGCTCTCAGCCTTCAGCTTTCTGCTGAACAGCCTACTACAGCTGAATTATTATACCTGGCACTTCAGACTCTTCCACATCTCATTGCCTAATTGTGTTCTCTTCTAGTAGGTGAGTGTTAAACTCAGACATTAAAGGATCTCTGCCAATTACCTGAAGCTCAACATTTGATCTGTCTGAAAATCTCACCGATCCATGGGGGACTGCTCCTCTGTCTGCATCCTGAATGCTGCAGTCCGTCCTCGCTTGGTGTGGTGTAAAGCCAGAGTAACTCTCCTCCTGGTAGTAAGGGAATAAAAAGAGTGAATAATAGAGGGAATTCAGGCAAGAAATCGCCCCCCCCTCCCCCTTCAGAATTAGTGCTAGCATTAATCCAGTAGCAGCTGCTAATTATGTAGGATTTATAGGAAAATGTATTGCTCTCTTTGTCTTCTCTCTGCTGCTTTTACAGACGACGTTTGACCAGTGCTTCTGTGCAATACCTTGTAAAAGCAGCAGCTTTTCTGGGATTACCTCCCTAGTGCATTGCTTCTCCTGCCTGTAGTTCATTGATGTTTTTCCGTCTGTGGTCACCGCAAAGCCTGTGTGGCTCAGTGGTGCTTTGGAGACCCTTGTTTGCAAACCAATCAGTTAAATTAAGAAGCTTGATACTCAGTGCTGTGTGATGACATCTTCAATTTAGCTGGTGCCCTAGTGAGGAAGTAAACAAACAATAAAAGTGTCACAATTCTTTCTAGTTCCATTAGACAAACAAGAAGTTTATTCAGCGTTTTGGCAAATGAAAATTTAAGCAAACTGTCAGGGGAGACATTTTCCCCATCAGATGCTTTCTGAGAGGGGATTATAACAAGAAAGAGCTATCACCCACCATGTCATTATAAACAAAGACTCCTGTGAACCCCTTTTATTAAAGATTAGCAGCACTGATTACAGTCTTGCAGGCTGAGCCAAAGGCAAATTAGAATATCTTTTGCCATGGGATAACTTATGCTACCTTCTTGGGCACTGAGATGATTGCAAACAGCGGACTCCCAAGAGCAGACAATTTTCACCTCTGGCCATTCGTTCTCTGCTGTTTAGAAGCAGTCGGCGATCTGTCTAGACCTATTTGCTGCCAGAGACCAGCACTTCATTACGCCTCCTGCCGTATGATTCCAGGTGAGACCAGTCATTCATGCGATTGGGAATCCCAGATTTCAGGCATTTCTTGTGGATAACTCTTACGGATGCTTCAGAAAGTGTTTCCAAGCCAAGCGTTAAGGAGCTCTTTTCCAGCAGAGACAGACTGGGATGCTAATACGATGTTTACCAAGCCATCCAAATTCAGCCTTTAGTGCTATGTGGTGTCCACAGGCTTGGTGCAGACTGTGAGACTCATTGAGGCTAGTTGCAAATCATGACCTCGCTGTCCCTGTTTGGTGAACATCAGGTTCCTGCTCTTGTCAGTAACGTCTATGATCCCCTCACAGCCCTGTTGGATCACCAGTCCAACCCATACCAATCCTGCCTACTCGCTGCTCTTGCCTCAGAGCACATCCAGCTTTAGGACCTATCCATATTCCTACACATAGGCAGAGAAACTGCTGACTTTGTTCCCTGAGTCCCTTGGGCACATCCAAACCCCACAAAGCTCCCTGCCCTCAGCTGCCTCCTTGCTCATGTAACTCGGTACTAAAAGGGCCAGGACTTCAGTTCCAGTGCCTGTAGGTATCTTCTTTTGGAAAAGCAAACCTGTCAGGTTTCCAGAACACCAGGCAGGAGCTGAAATTAAACAAAAAGCTGCCTGTAAGCCTTCTTGGGGGTGAGGAAGGGAATGCATTTAAGATGAGGAGGCATCGCAGTAACCCTACTTCATCTGGACACGTTTGTCGGCAGCAGGACAGAGAGCAGCCTTCACAGGGTGACAGAGCCCCAGCTCCTTAGGTCCAGGAGGACCTCCTGGGTTTGTAGGCAGCTGATCTCCCAGGCGCTTTGCTATCATGGGCAGGTAGGACGTGGTGTTTGGAGCAAGCCTTTCTTTTAGCAGCAAGAAGCTCACTGGGGAATGAGCCCTGCCGCTTGCACAGTCACAGCATCAGTCTTTGTTTATGTACTGAACTGATGAGCAATTAACTTGGAGAAGATACATTATATGCAGAGCACAAGCCTGGTAATGTGCTTTCTATTAAGGCTGCCTAACACTTCCTATTATTAGACCCCCACTTTCTGTTGCTTACAACTTTTCGAACTTCTAACCATTTAAGCTGAAATCTCCCCTCCTGGGTGCTGCCTCAGGCTGGACTGATCGTATTTGGTGTGGAAAGTTTATGTGTGCCCTAGGGGAATCCCTAGTATGGTTGTGCAATTTGTGTTAATGGCTCCGAGTGACACTCAGTGAGAAGGGGACATGGGAGAGCCCATAGACAATAACTAATGCAAACAAGGCCACGTAATTAGGCTGAGAGGGAGCTAAGCTGAAGGCACAGGGGTCTTGTAGAGAGGCCTCTATGATTTCCCGCTGCATGCTCTTTGTTTGTAATAACTGGAATAGTGAGCCTTTGTTGCCTGGTCATGTCTGGTTGCATTTTCCTGGACGCAAATTACAATACAGCTTGTCTGACCTCTGTGTCACCATCCCCACCAAATTGTAGCTGGTTCTCGTGCTGTTATTGTGGAGCACATTGCTGTACAGGGGAGTCATGCTCCCTCTGCCTTCCATCACCTGCGTTTTCCAATGCTCCTGAAATGGCAGAATTCTTTCATTATTGTGTGACCAGAAAAGCGCCGTGGGTTAAAGCAACAAAAGGTGTGTGCCTCACATGAAAGGGTAGGACTCCGAATCTCAGACTTATGGGCTCTGGATAGAGCTGGCCAGAAGGAAAAAATGACAGTGATTTGCTTTTCTTTTTCCATCCTTGGTGGGAGCAGTAAGGAGGAAAGAGCTTGTTTAGTGAGCTCACAACCACCCTGGCTTGAATATCTGGTGCAATGTCTAGAGCAGAATGATCCCCATTGAGCTGCTTTGTCTCTGTGTCTTAGCCTTCCAGAGATATCTGGAAGAAGGCACCTCTTCCTCCAGATAGCAGTCTCTAGACTGTCTCAGCGGGGTTACTGTGATCAACTTTCCGCTGCACCCCAGCACAGATGCTCTCACAGGCTGTGACCCCATTTCCAGAGGTCACCTCACAATCTTATCATCAAATTTTCCAGTCCTGAAAATGGATAAACTTTTAAAACAGCTAACTCCAGGGCCTTCTTTTCCCTCTCATTATGGGAATAGCTCACTGCAGAGGGGGTGAAGACAGTGGAAGACACATTGCTTTAAACAAATATGAAGTCAGATGCACTGGGGAAAAAAAAAGCTAAATTATGCCTGCAGAGAGTTGGTACGGCAGCATCTCTGTTCCCGACGTGTGGCACAGCCTGTTAATGCCTCCCATATCTGCCAGCTCCCTCCCCCAAACTAGACAAGAAGCAAACCCATTATCTGGAGGACATTTGTCTAAAACTCCCCTTTTGTGCCTTGGCTATCTGGGGCCTGCAGCTGTCACTTCCCATTCTTCCTGTAATTGCTCCCACTACAGCTAATAATGCATTTATCAAGCACTCTTTATTTATTTATTTATTTGTCTCCCTTTATTATTATTATTATTATTATTATTATCTAGGTATAAAATAGGTCTTTCTCTCCCACTGCTCCAGCAGACAACTAGTCTCCTGAAGAAGCAGCGGCCGCCCTGCATTCCTGCATCAGCCTCAAGGTATTGGTTTATTAATATACTGAGCCCCTGGAGCAGCCTCTGGGATGTGGGGTTTTCACCTAACTGTGCCATCCCTTCCCACGATAGCTCCTAAAGTGAAGCTCTCACAGTGGGACAAGAAGCAATCCAAAAAGCAATTTACTTTGCTGACGGTTTGGTTTCTCCCCAGAGATGCGGCTGAAGGCATTTACGTGCTGGAAGGAGCGAGGAGTCAGCCCTCCACAGGTGTTTTCTGCAGTGGAGCTGGGCTCAAGGGGCTGTGATGCCTCAGCCTGGGGCTCTTGTGACTGCAACATCCACAGGTTTGTGCTATAGCTTCCCAGGGCAAGAGGGATTTGGACACCTTGAGCAGGGTGGGTCATGAGATGTGCTCTGCAGGCCCAACTTGGACAATTCAGTTCAATATAATTAACCACTTCTTCTGTGTACTGGGCCCCTCTGGATTCCAAGCATTGGAAACGCTTCTTGTTGATACACCAAATTTATGTGCACCTTTTTCAACCTTGTTGAAGTTCTAAGAAATGAGTTTATCAGTCAAGCATGCATCCTGTTTTATTTGATGTTTTTTCCCAGTCACTTTGTGGTTATCTTTTGCTGTTTACTCAAAGGCTGACAGGACAGGACCTGAGCCACTGAACCTGCAGGTTTCCCACTGCTGTTTATCTCCCTCATTGAAATCATTATCCACAGAACCTGTCACCCCAAATGAGAAACTCCATCTGTCTCCCACTTCTGTTCATGGGACACTTCCTTTGGATGTTGTTGTGCTTCTAATGAGGGATGGGGCTGGGATGGGGCAGAGGTCAAAGGGAAAAGTGTTCATGGGGTGCATTCTTGCAAATTAGACAATGGAATTGCAAAAGAAAGCATGGGGATAGATGCTGGGAAGGAGACAATAAATGAATCTTCTAGTTATAGTCTAAAACATCAGGAGTACCAACTGCCCTTTTGTTTCAGGGAATGAAGCAGCCTTTTGAGACCTCTTGGAGACTTGAAGGAAGAGAGTTGTTCTGACATCTGTAGAGACATTTTCACCTCTTCAGGGCTCTGGGGCCAGGAGGAGATTCACTTGTTTTCTGCCTCAGAACAGCAATGTACAAGCTTGAAAACTGTGGAGTTTCTCCAGATATTCCCCTGCTTTTGCCTGCTATTCCTGAAGAGCATTTCTACTCCTTATCAGTATGTATACAAAAGAGAGCAAATAAGAGCAGGATTTAGCCCATCAGGTACAGGGTCTTGGTCTGCTGCAAAATGTGATGTTTCTGGCCTCCCGTCCTGGCTGTTGAATTCAGGAGCCAATTGGAAGAAACAAATGGTCCAGACCCTGACCACTTTAGTAGTGAAATGTCACATTCAGCTCCCTGGATAAGAACTGGGTGGAGCCATGGAAAACATACGTACATTTGGACTGCTAATGGACCCAGGGCTTGTGAAAATTTCCCTCCAAAATGAAGGAGAAATTCTTGTCCCAGCCTGTGAAATACCTCTTCTCTGGATCATGACATGACTGTATTGCACCAGCAATGCTCTGCAACCCAGCTTCCCCTTCTCAGTGACCTTGGGAACCAGGACTCTCTTGTTCAGTGGCAGAATTAGAAAGATTAATTAATTCTGCCATGTATGGCATAATGGCTTGCTTCCGTTGCTCACCAAGCTGAGCATTTTGTCCCGATTCTTCCTTGTGACAAACCATGGTGACATTTACCTCCTCGCTGGCCCCAGTGCTTGTGCCTGATGCTGGGAAAGAGGGCCCTGGGACATAACTCCCTCTGCTGCTTCCCCTCCACTGCCGATTTGCCAACAAACCTCAAAAGCAGTCATGAGAAATGTGCAGGCTTGTTATCTTCCACCTTGACCAGTGTTATTTTGTATGCAGGTTGGATGGCATCTGCAAAAAAACACACAAACCTCTCCAATTTAATGGGGCGTGATAGCCATCTCACAAGGAAGAGGAGTATCTCACATACCAGCCATGCATGTGCCTGGAGAGCCTCTTTCACATCGGTCAGCAGAGATACAGCTTCCTTGTGCCATATTTGTGTGATGCAGCATCTCACCTGTCCTACGGGAAAGCAAAAACAGAACTGTAAGCTAAGGCTGTTTGTGCCCTGTAGGGCTAAATGTCTGTGGAGCAGTACAAGTTGTAATGGCTGAAAAGCATGTCTGTGCTGATGTAATAGCAACCACTGGGCTTGCTAAAAGGGAAAGATGATGTGCACCATGTGCACCGTGTTGTTGGATTATATCTTCCCTTTCCCAAGTGGAAACAACATTGCTGTGTTTGTTAGTGTTGATTTTAGTCAGTTTTATTTGCTTGTTCCCTCTGCCCAATAAAGCTAATTACTGGATGTTTTTAAAAGAAAATTAATTTTTTGGTCTCTTCTAAATTTTGTAAAATTCCACTGGAAAAATAATTTTAATATAATGTAGATTTAATTTAATTAATATAATGTAAATTTCATAGTAAAGGTGGAGAGATTCACTGTGAGCATTTTCTGTTGAACTGCAGGAATAGGCCAGCCAGACAATTTTTCGGCTTTCTGTGCTTTGATGAATGGGTTCAGTTTTAGAATACCTGAAAAACTTTCCTCAAAGAAGAAAAAAAAAATATCTAAGTTTAGAAATACACTCAGATGCTTTATAGATGTTTAATATGCTTCTCCAAACATAAAAGAAATGTTTTGTTTCTGGTTGAGTAGAATGTTACGTTTGACCCAGAATGAATTGTGGGTAAAATTCCAATAAATTTGAAGCAATAATTTGCCCTGACAGTCCTTGTTTTAAAAAAATAAAAAAAATAAAAAATGACATCTTTAATTTAGTCTCTGTGACACTGGGACTCTTGAGAGGCAAAAAATTTACGTGTGTGAAGTGTCAAGTGAAGAGTTTTGCGTGGTGCGTGGTGATGTTGCATGTACTACAGCCTGTGCATTTAAAAAGGAGTTAAATCCAGGCTCTCTCTGGATGAAAACTGCTATCATTTAGGCTGCTGTTTAAGCAGAAACCATGGTGTAAGCAGACGAAAGTGAAGAAATCTTTATGCCCCATTTTGCTCTGATGCTTCTCACTTCAGTGAGTTTTGGAAAGGAACTTGGCTGTTCCAGGATGAGCTTGTGAGGGTGCCTTGGGTGCAACGTGTACAATACTGCAGGGTTTTATTAGTCCCAATACTTGGATATTCGTCAGAGAATGGTGAGAGAAGACACATGTTCAGAGTGGTCTGTGGGATGTTGAAGTGGCAGGACCGACGTGGACCTGATGTTGAAGAGCCTCCCGCACCGGGAGTTTGCAATCAACCAGCTCTCCTTCTCATCTTTATTCAGTTATTTTATTTTCAGGAGCACCAGTTTCACCCTGAAGTGTAACAAAGCAAAAGAAGTGCTTAATCAGAAGCCTTTTGTCACAGGCCATTTAGATCCTAAAAGACAGATTACAGGGAGAGCAATCTTTAAAACCAATACAGAGCAGAGATCTCTGTAATTGCTCAGGATCCGTTCGTGCAGTTTGTGATGTGCTGCTGGACTGCCTTACTCAATCAGGGCGGGTTTATTCCCCCCCTTTTGTGCCTCATTTTCTACAGCTGTAAAGCAGATAATCTCTCACTTGCCTTCGCATCCACCCTAACTCAGTCTGTGTCTCTTTCACACACTGGGTAAAGTGTGATCACAGCTAAGCGATGGCCATTAGACCCTATAAAATTAGGATTAGCTAGGATGACTTCGTGCATTAGATCAATTTAAGTCATTGGCTGGTGGAAAGAGAGTGTGATTCTTTCCTCTGTTAGCTGGGGCATGGCTTTCTTGTGACAGCATGGGGTGTGATTGTAGTTCTCCCCTTAAAGTCATTGATTTTGCTTTCTACCTGCACCTTCTATTGCACCCGCTATCTTCAGGCCCAAGCTCTTCATTTTGCCCTGGGTTGGGATGGTCTAGCTGTGGTTAATGCTTATTAGGCAGGAGGAGGTCTTGGGGAAAGCAGCTCTGTGTTAGAAACTTCTACAAATAACAGGAGGCAGGATTCCCCAAGAACTACTCTGGCAGCAGCATTTATGTTTAGAGAGGGGACAGTACTGGTGGTGAGCCCCAGGGGCGGGTGGCTGAGCACAAGGAGAGGAATCATGTCTCTCTCAAACACTGTTGCTCCCTTGGTCTTGTGGAAGACTCCCTGACCCAAACCAAGTCCCCTTCTATTTTTCTTGGGTGCACAGGATCCTCAAAGCTGAGCACCACCCCACAGGTAATCCTGTTCTGGTCCAAAGCAAATCAGCTCCTATGAGGCTGCTTCAGACCATATTTCAGGTCATAAGTCTTTCCTAAGCAGCTCATGAAAAATCAGCACCCTGCATCCCAAACCTGATCCTACCAGGTCTCCAGTTCCTCACATCAACCTCAGTTTTGTACATTTAATAGGCCATGGAAGGGGCAGCAGCACTGAATTTAACTCCAAATGACACTACTGGTAGCCATTTGGAGGGGTGGCTATAACAGCCAATGCTTGGAGAACGAGGTGCATTTTCCCATCCATAGCTGCTGTTTAATAACAAATTTAATGAAATAGTAATTGTGTACCGAGCAAAAAAGAAAATACCCATGTAAGATTAAGAAGATATTCACTGAACTTTCCTAGCCAGGCCACAGCTTCTACATATCTATTACGAGGCTTTTAAACCTCGCTAAATGTGTTTGCAATAACTACTTTCTATTTCATTATGGAGCAATAACTCTCCTTATTGAGTCTAAATTAAATCCTTATTTGAGACACTTCATTTAAGGCATTATTGGGAAACGCACCTTGGAAGAAGTAGGACCAACTTTAGCTTTATGGCTTACAAGATTGTATTATACACATATGTATAAACGTCTAATTTCAGGGAATTTCACCTCAGTGGCTGCAGTCCACAGCCACTAGTCCCTAGAATTAGATTCAAGGCACAGCCTAGAGTTATTCATCACATTTTGATCACCAGAGCTCCTGTGACTGCCCCCTGCCCATTGCTACCACCACCTCCACTTTTATTTGCCGCTTCTGCTGTGTGGGGAAGAAGCATCCCTATTAAACTTGTTTTAAAAAGGCTCCCAACCCTGAATTCTGGGGGTCTCCCCAAGTGCATTCAATCCCCATGCTTAAGCTTGGAAGTATTACTGACTTTCTGAAAGCTGGTGTAAAACCAGCGTAAGCAGTCTGTTCCATTACAAATAGGCAGGGGGAAAGCATAAACAGGTTGGTTTGCAGATGGAGTATGAGCAGGACCCTTCTGGTAGCCTACGATGATGTGAGTGATTCAGGTAGGAGGCCAAACACCCACTCTGTGCTGCATGGCCAGTAGAAGTTACAGCAAGGGGCCTTGCTCAGGGAACTACAGAGCCACCTCACCTCAGTCATGCCTGTAGAAAAATCAAGACTGTGATTCAGGATTTAAAAAACAAAAATCAATAATATCGATCAGCACTGACTGGGAGCATTTACTGGTAGATCTCAGAGAGCTTTGTAGAGCAGTAGCTCTCCCCTTCTTTACAGCTAAGGCAATTGAAATGCCATTTCTAAGCTGCAATAGAGTGAGTGGTGGAGGGGAGATTACAGCTGCCTCTGCTGAATCCTATCTCGCTGCTCTTTGCTGGGGAGCAAAAGGGACCCCTTGAAGTGAATGTTTTCAACAACAACTCATTGAAAACTCGGTTTCTACCAAGGCATATTTATAAGTCACAATGGAAAGGGACAGGCTGGCTCACAAGATAATGGGATTTTTTTTAGATTCTTACCTTTAGACCACAGCTCAAAGTTGGTGATGGTCTAACGGCTGTTCAGCCGCCCCTTGAAACAAGGCTGGTTTGTTTCACCTACCACCACTGTTACAGAAACTACCTGCTCCCCTGGTTTTCCTCCCTGGCTCTTTCTGGAAAATATACCCAGAGTGTGGGAGGGCACAGAAACTGGTCCCTGTACTTCCCTAGAAATGCTTTGGTGAAGAAACATGGGAAAGCCACCAGGTCTGGGACTTCTCCAAATTTGTAGTGTAGAGCAGTTCTTCTCTTGGAGAACACATACCTTTTGGCAGGGAAATTATATTTCTGAAACAAAGCATTCCCAGCAGGAAGAGGCAAAATCTCCCCCCTTCTCTGTCCCTTTCTCCCAGTGGGGTAAGTTATGCTGTAAAGAGACCACCCTAAATAGCACAACCCATCTAGATCCTTTAGAGCTGGAGACATTCACATGCTTGTCAGACTCCAGACTCAGCAACTTGCGTCTATTTCTAACATAAAGCAAAGAGTTTTGCCTAAAAGCTATTGCTGTTTCTTGGAGAGGAAAGAAATTTTGAATCTTGACAGTCCTGGGGCTTGGGCTAACATCATTATACCAGTGATTTCTCCTCCCAAAGTCCTTTTAAACTCAAGAGTCTGTGTTTATACAGTTCTTAGCCCAAAGGGGGCTCATTCTGTGTTGGCCCTTTGGCACTGCAGCAATAAACAGGATTAATAACTAGAGTCAGCAGGGCTCGGTACCCGTTAGAATTTCCCATGGACTATCCAGAAGGTGCTGTTCCTACAAGCATCTTGGCAGTGAATTATTTATGGGCAGCATAAGGATCGTAGTGCTTGCCAGTTTATTAGATTTATAACTAGCTGTGTTAGGTCCATTGTGTGTGTGTCTCTGCATGTACGAGCATGTACTTGTTCAGCTGTTTCTCTCCAGTCCCCTGCTAGTTAAGGAAGATCTGCTCACACACATTTCCAATATAAACACATCACTTTGTGACTCAGATGTGAGAAAATCCAGGAGAGGCAAAGGATTGCTACTAACGAAGGAAAAGCTTGTTTAGGTACCTCAACCACAGATGCAAATTTTTATCCAAGCACAGGCTGAAATCCTAAGACCCAAGATTATTTGAAGGGTGAGAAAGTTTGCTTTACTTCTGAGTTTCACAGCTTCTTAGAGCCCTGCCTGTGTGGGTTTTATTTGGAAACACGTGGACTTCAACCTCGTTTTGTGGCAGATGTGTCATTTTGATGCCCAGATGGGCAGTTTGCTGGCTGGGTACTGCAAAGAATTTAAAACACAATTCTCTCTTCAAACACGTGGGAGGGAGCACTTGCCTTGTAGCTAGGCTGTTATTCCAGTTCCAACAGATCTCAGAATAGAAGTTATTAAAGGTTCATCTTTTTCTGCTCTCTCTGATACACCTGTGCTATGATGTTGCCAGTAGAGTCATCAATGCATCTGAAGGTGCTGGCCTAGGGCCATGAAGCTCTACAACACCTCTTTCAGAAGCGGCACAGGTGACTGTGTTGCTATCACCAGAAGTTCTGCTCTGAGGCAGGGAAGAGGTGACAGAAGCAAAGACCTTTCTTCATGCAAATGATCCAGGCAAGGGAGTAAAACTTCCTCCGGCTGAAGAACTGGCTGAAAGCAGAATGCTTTGCAAAGTTTTCTGTGAGCCCTCATCAGCTCTGACTGCTGTACAGAGAACCTGTTTGAGCTGTTCAATAAATTGGATGCTTTAAATAATATATAGACCCTCTTTCTGGATTCATGAGAAGCGCTGACTTGTTCTGCCTGCAACAGTCTTCTTTCTTATGCTTTAAAAAGTTATCTTCACTAGGCATCAAAATCTCACGTCTGACTTTTGGATTCTGCTTTGGAAGATTTCTGGTTAGACCTGAGCTGGCTGGTGTGCATTTCACAGCTCTGTTTTCATGCTGTCTTGCTTGAGTTCCCAGATGCATTTTTTCTAAAGGTCATTTAAAACATCTCATGGCAGAGAGAGGAAAAAGGCATTTTCCCCACCAAAATACCCAGTCAACCCATTTCTT